AATGTCTCCAGATACTACCAAATGACACCTTTGAACCAAACTAACCTCCCACTGAGAACTATACTTTAGGATAATAAGTAAGATAGCCTGAAATCCACCACCACCAATTGTAACATGAGAATGCAGTGGAATGAAGATGGAAGGCAGTGGCTAGAGCAGCAACACGTTCAGGGGTCATACCTTCAGGGGTCAACAAAACAATACAAATGTGAGGGCTAGAGAGATGGCACAGTAGGGCTTGCTGCCAATCCAGAAAAATCAAGTTTGGTTCTCAGCATACACGGTGAGCAGCTTACAAATGCTTGTACCACTGGCTCCAGGGGACCCAACACCCTCTTCTGGCCTCTGTGGGCTCTGCATACATGTGGCACTCACACAAAGGCAAACAAAACTTTAAAAAAGTAAATAAAATAATAAGGGGGCTGGAGAGATGGCTCAGCAGTTAAGAGCACTGAGTGTTCTTCCAAAGGACCTGGGTTCAAGCCCCAATAGTTTAAAACTGTCTCTATAACTCTGATTTCAAGGGATCTGACACATTCATACCAATGCACATAAAATAAATTATTATTTTTTTTTAAAGTAATATGCCAGGCATTGATGGGTGCATGCCTTTAATCCCAGCGCTTGGGAGGCAGAGGCAGGCAGATCTCTGTGGGTTTAAGGCCAGCCTGGTCTACAAAATGAAGTTCCAGGACAGCTAGGGGCAGGAATTTGGGTTCAAATTTGCCAGAACGCTGGAATTTTCAAGAGAAAGTACATGCTCTAATTTTTTTGTATTGTGTTTTCTGTTTATTGTGTTAGAGACACGATTTTGCTATGTAGCTCAGACTGGCCTTTAACTCAAAGCAGTCCTCCTTCCTTAGCATCTCAAATGCTGAGATTACAGGAATGTTACCACACCAGTCTAAATTCTAACTTGTCAACTGCTGACAATTGATTCAAATTATTTAAAACACTGTGAATGGGAAGGAGACTAGAAAGAGGACTATAGTAGAATATATGATTCAAGTACATTACATACATGTATGAAAACGTAGTGAAACTCACTATTTTGTACTAACATACACTTTATATACTATTAAACAATGGGGAAAGGCAGAGCTTTATAGCAAAACCCTGTCTCAGAAAAACTAAAAAAAAAAAATTAGAGTCACATGTGTACTCCATGTCTCTTGCCATGTGAAATCCTGTGCTATCTTGGGACTGAACTGGCAAGAAAGGCATTACACTTGTAACCCATTGACCAGAGACTGGAATTGTAAACCTATTTACTCATTATTTTTTAATCATTTTTCTTTGTGTAGTCCCAGCTGTCCTGCAACTTTGTAGACTAGGCTAGCCTTCAACTCAAGAGATCCCATTGTCTCTGCCCTTTCCCCCTCAGATCCTGGGATTAAAGGTGTGTACCCCCCACTACTCCCCATCCCAGATGAGCCTCTTAATTTATAAATAAAAAATTAAGACAAGCATGGTGGCCTACAATCTCAGCACTCAGTAAACATGGATTATTTACCAAGTTCCAGGCGACTCTGGTCTACAGAGTAAGAAATAAATGAATGTATAATTAAATTAATTAAAAACTAGGCAGGTCTAATAAAACTATCTGTGGGCCAAGCCTGGCCATTGAGCAACCATCTTATAGTCTCTGTCCCACAACTGAACATATGGAATCCTATATTCTAGAATGAAACTTCATCTAGCCTGGCATAGGTATAACTTCCTTTAAAGAAAAAAAAAAAAAGACCTAAAGCTAGTGTAGTTGTACATGATTTTAATCCCTACACTGGAAGGCAGAGACAGGCAGATCTCTTTGAGTTACTAGTTCAAGGCCCATGTGATCTACATAATGAGTTCTAGAGCTGTCAGAGTTACACAGTGAGACCCTGTCTGAAAAGTAAATAAAATTTAAAAATACTTATCTTTATTATTTTTAATTATGCATGTGTGTGCCTATATGTAAGTTATATTTGCTTGAATGTGGGTAACCATGGAGGCAAGAGGCACTGGTTACCCTTGGAGTTGGAATTATTGAGAAAACTGAACTCAGGTCCTCTGGAAGAACAAACAGTAAGCACTAAATGTTCTTAATGGCTGAGCCATCTCTCTAGCCTCTGGCTAGAAATTTTTTGTTCAATCTCCCAAACAAGGTAGGCTCCTCTAACGTCTCAATTTCCAACCAACAAGGTAGACCTTTTTATGTCTTAATTTCCAAACATCATTCTCCAACCTATCTAAAGCATCATGCAGGATCCAGTGAAGAGCTTTAATTTCCACCTCATATGTCCCCTGAGTTCATGTTGCTCTCAGTGTCATTCCTAATAGTCCCCCTTCTACCACCTTCAAGCTCTGTTTAAAGTCTGAGTCTATGATCTAAGTTTGAAGAAAGGAAATAAGGAAATCCCAAAGCCTCATTGGTTAAAATGCAACATGGTTTTACAATATGGCCTTATTTCTAACAAATTCTTGCCCTCAGATTTGAATTCTGGAAATGCCTGAGTTTCTGGGAAAGGGGGCTCATAATACTAGTCCTAAGAAATCTGGGGAAAATATACTGTAAGTAAAAAAGGACCAGAAACCCCATGGTCTATATTTCAAAGAGGCGACTCCACTCCTACAATCAAAAGATAAATTCTTGGTATGAGGATGGGCTTTTTAAGTCCAAGAAAACATGGGAAGAATCCTAACAGGAGGTGGAGGACTAGGAAATGAAAATAATCTATGTATCAAAAATTATAGGGACTAAAGAAATGGCATAGCTTTTAGGAATACTTGTTCCTCTTGCAGTAGTCAGGTTTGGTTCCCAGCACAAACATGAAGGCTTACAACCACCTGTAAGTACAGTTCTGGAAGATCCTGCCTTCAGTTCTGAGGGTACCAGGTACACATGCATGATGTATGGTATGACATATACCCTGGCAAACACTCACATACATAAGATAAAAATAAATCTTAAAAAACAAAAACATGGAGCTGGAGGGATGGTTCAGTGGTTAAGATCAGTGGCTGCTCTTCCAGAGGACCCAGATTCAATGCCCAGAACCCATATGGCACTCACAACCATCAGTAGCTGCAGTTCCAGGGGATCCAACATTTCTTCTGCTCTTTAAGGGTACCACACACATGGTACATAGATATACATGCAGACAAAACACCCATACACATAAAACATTTAAAAACCAATGCACAGGCACAATCAGATGCTCAGATAGGAACACAAATGCAAAACAAAAAAAAAAAAAAAAATGAATAATTCTACAGCTGGCCATTCCCTTATAAGAATTTCCTTTGTATAACACAATGTCAAGAAATATACAAGTGTTCTAAAATGACTTTTACATTTGTGTGTGTGTGTGTGTGTGTGTGTGTGTGCTTTCACTTATGGAGGACTGAGCACAGCTGTGAGTCTCAGGGATAGAATTCAGGTTGTCAACCTTGGCAGTTAAGTGCTTTTTACCTGCTGAGATATCTAACCAGTCCTGATTTTTGTTGTTATTTGCTTGAGACAGGGTTTCACTAGGTAACCCTGGCTGGTCTGGTACTTGACATGTAACCCAAGTTGGACTTGGTAATTATTTTGCATCTACTTCCCAAGTAAGGGGATTATAGATGTGAACCACCAAGCTTGCTTCATAAAATTACTGTCTGGTTTTTTGTTTTGTTTGTCTGATTGCTTTGAGACAGGGTTTCACTATGAAGCCTTGACTGGCCAGGAACTCACTATGTAGACCAGGCTAGCCTCAACTCACAGAATATGACTGCCTCTGCCTTCAAAGCACTAAGATTAAAGGTGTGCACCACTACATCTGCCTAAAATTTTGGTCTTTAAAGATCTCAGCAAGTCCAGAAACTGTGGTGAAAGCCTATTAGATATAGAGCTGAAAAGAGAAAAAGGACATACAGCTGAATCCCACCTTTGTCCCTCCTCCCAGGAATACCCCCCATTTCAAGGGATATGAGGAGATGGCCTTAATTATTTGCCCTTAACAAAGCCCTTAAAGTCAGGAGGCACAGCACTTTCTTTTCTTTCTTTTTGCTAACTCTTTGCTAACGCCAAGGTATTATTGATCTATTTTTTAAATTGCCAATAAACTATATATACAGCCAAAGTTTTTCCAAGCAGAGATAAAGAACAGAATATGATTAAGTACTTCTGGTCGCACAGTGCTAAGAAACACAAGATTCTGTGCTATCGGAAACACTAGCTCTAGCAAGCCTGAGTAAATTCATAGCAGTCTTCTCTCATTTCCATGCTTTCACACTCTATATCCTTTACTCTGCCCCTAAAGAAAAGAAAACAGGGATCTCCTGGAATCTCTCACCTAAATGAGAGGTTGTTGTCTAAACCTAAATGCAGGATGGAAGCTATCTTCCCCTCAGGGGCAGCAAGCAGAGCTTGTTTACAAAGTCAGTGTAAAGAAATCTGAAACACCAATGGGAAAAGGCCATTTGGTATTGGTGCCTGCTGCTTAGAACAGACCACAAAGAGTAGCAGTGACAGGAAAGAGGGTGTCCTGTGGGACCTGGGGCCCCATCCTCTAGAGAAGCCTATTTCCTCATTGATGTCATTAAACTAATTTCCAACAAAAAGCTACAAGGCCTTAGCTCTGACTTGTTCCCTGAGATAAGTTACAAATAAGGATGTTGACATCATTCAAAACACCTGACCTCCAAAAATTAAAAAAAAGAGAAAAAAAAAAAGTTGGTAAGACAAATACTAGACATGTATCAAACTATCACATAGAGCAAAGAACAGAAATATGGGACACCTAAGAATAAGAGGAACCCATGAACAGATTCAAACTTCTCCCATTCCCACCCTTTATGCTTACTTATCTCTCTCTCAGAAACAAATAAGGGATGAAATCATTTTTTCAAAAGGTATGATACTTCACACCTTCCCTCCTCCCCAAAGAGCAAAATATAACATGTAGGTATAGTAACCATCCAAGTAATATAGCACCCACACCCACATATGCCCCACGCTCTACCCCCATACTTACATATGCAGGCAGCAGCAAGGAGACGGCAGGCCACATATGGAGGATCACAAGTGGGGAAGGAGGGCTTGATGATGTAGTTGGCGAAGGTGATGGCGATGATGGCCTGACTGGTGGGCTCAACAATTAGAAGTGAGACCCACAGACGGATAAAGGCAATGAAGCCCCCAAAGGCCTCTAGAATGTAAGCATAGCTGGCCCCTGACTTGGTAATAGTAGTTCCCAGTTCTGCATAACAAAGGGCACCCACAACAGAGAAGAGCCCACCAATGGCCCACACAATTAGTGACAACCCATAGGAGGCAGTATATTTTAAAACACCCTTGGGTGAGACGAAGATCCCTGAGCCAATCATGTTGCCCACCACCAGGCTGACCCCGTTCAGCAAAGAGATCTCCTTCTTCAGCTGCATAGTTTCTGGAGACCCCTGAGATGGTGAGCTGGCATCTTCTTTTACAGTGTGTTGGTTGGCCTTGGGGAGAAGATGGTAGGTGGGTGTGGGACTTCCAAGTTCCCTGGCTTCCATGGTAACTGGTTCCTGTACACCCGTGTTTACTGTGGCCTGGCAAAGAAAACAAGTGTGTCAAGTCTAGGGCAGGAGCTAGTGTGACTCTAGTTTAATTAATATCTGCCAGTCAGACAGATTTCCCTGCCCACCACCTGCTTAGGTAGAGCATGCAACACACACAATAGGCCTGTCTCAGTTTCAATTTAAGACACAGGCAACTGGAGGCAGGCAATATCCAATGCTCCTAAAAAAGACTACATAAGCATTCAGTCCCAACCTAAGGACAACCTTCAACAAGGGATCTGTCTTACTGAGCAAAGAGGCCAGCAAAACTGTATTTATCCACAGTAGATTCTCCTAGTTTTGCTAAATTCTATTTGTTCGTTTGTTTGAGACAAGGTCTGCCTATTTAGCCTTGGCTGTCCTGAAACTCACTATGTAAATCATCAAGCTGACCTTAAACTAAGTGCTAGAATTAAGGCATGTGCTACCACATCCAGCTTCTTGCTCCATTCATCAGCTTAAAACACAAACCTATCACTCAGAAAAACAGTCCCCATAGCAGATGCATTGCACTCACTAGCCTGAAAGACTGAGACCATAGTGAAAGACTAGAAAGACTATACCAGACAATCCGGTCACTTAGCTCTATGTAAACAGGGTTTTCTTCTTTTTCTTTTAATGTACACTGAGGTTTTGCCTGAGTTTATGTCTGTGTAAGGATGCCAGACCAGATTCTCCTGGAACTAGAGTTACAGACAATTGTGAACTACCATGTGGGTTATGGGAATTGAACCGGGGTCCTTTGGAAGAGCAGCTGGTGCTCTTAACCACTGAGCCCCATAAACAGGGACTTCTACAGGCATTCAACCACATGTGAAAAGATCTGCTGTTACATAAAAGGAAGGGTTAAGAAGATGCTAAGGAAGAGTATACTATCACTAATACAGCTTTGTGTGGTGGCACACAAATGTAATCCCAACATTCAGAAGATTGAGGCAGGAAAATTCTGAGTTCCATATAGTGATTCAAAACTTTAATCCCAGCACCAGGGTGGCAGAGGCAAACAGATCTCTGAGTTTTGAGTCCAGCCTGATCTACAGAGTAAATTGCAGGACAGCCAGAACTACACAGAGAAACCCTGTCTCAAAAAAAAAAAAAAAAAAAAAAAAGTATAACATCATTGCAGAGACCTTTATGGAAACACATATCCAAGTATCATGTGTAAGGAGGAAGGACTATAGGGCCCCACTAGAACACTGGGCCACATAAGCAGGGCCCATAGGGAAGTCACAGAAACTGAAGTGACAAGCAAGGACCCTGTATGGGTCTGAGTTAGGTCCCCCTGCATGTTATGATTGTGTAGCGTGGTCTTGTGGAACTGCCAACAATGGGAGTAGGGGTTGTCTCTGACTCTTTTGCCTGCTCTTGGGACCATTTTCCTCCTACTGGGTTGTCATGTTTAACTGTGATACAAGGGTTTGTGCCCAGTCTTATTGTATCTTGTTAAGCCATGTTCAGTGGATATCCCTGGGAGGCCTACCGCTCACCCCCATCCCCCCACCTTTTTTAAAGGAAAACAAAAGGAGTTAATCTGGGGGAGAGGGAATGGGTAGAGTAGAGGGAGAAGAAACTACAGTCAATGTAATGTATGAGAAAATAAAAGTTTTAAAAAAAAATGGAATCAACACTTCAGCTTTCTAAAATCCTCTCCTCTCAACAAAGACATAAAGCTAGGCAGAGTGGCAGTGGCATGCACCTATAATTCCAGCACTTGGGAAGTTGAAGCAGAGGGATCAAAGGTTCCAAGTCAGCACTGACTACATAGTGAGACCCTGCCCCCACCCCCAAAAAAGTGTGGGGCTGGAGGATAGAATAAAAATAAAATTGTCTAAACAGAGCATGGCTTCATAGGGCTAAAGCAAAGTAACCAAGGTCATTTAAGTGTGAAAGCTTCTCAAGGAAACAGGGAAAACGCATACCTCCACAGACCCCACCCAAAACTCTTGTTTACTTGTCCCAATCCACTCTAAGCGCCTGGACCTAAGCCCAAGTTAAAAAGCTTGTCCAGGGCATGAGAAGAGCAGAGCTAGCCTACCTCTACTTAATAAGATCAGACTTTCAGAACACCTTTCATTCTTGGCACTAAGCTCTATGCAGGTTTCCCTATGCAAGCATGTGGAAGCATATTTGCTTCACATGTCTGTCAAGTGAGTCCAGGTTTCCCTGGGAACAAATCCAGTAAACAGCTAGGAGCCCACATTCATGTATGGGTGAGGTACAAAGAGACCTTCAGGGTTTAGATAATCAACATACAAATAGGCAGAAAAGCCTGGCCCTAGAGGCTACTCCAGCCTCCTCTTTTCCATCAGAACTTAGGACTGAGTGAAGGTTATCAGGTATCCCTTTTGTACAACTTGGCACTAGTGTGCCTTATGTGGCTTTATTCAATGTATCTGATACACTAGACAAACTCCCCAGTGGTTTATTCTGGAAGAATAAGTTACAATCATTCACAGCCCCAGAACACCTCTTGCCTAGAATCACTGTCCCAGCAGCTGAATAGGGACTGCTCCTCTCTTTCACAGATAAGATTTTTTTTTTTTTAAGGCAGGGTTTCTGATGGGAGATGCCATTATGTACATATGTTTCTCATACTGGTTAATGAATAAAGCACTGTTGGCCAATAGGAAAGGAAGATAGGAGGAAAGAGGAAGTAGTGAAGAGGAGTCAAGATGGAAAGTCTGGAGGGAGCTAACGCCAGCCTGCTCTCCGAGGGTAAGAGGAGACCACATGGAAATACATAGATTAGTAGAAATCTGGGTTAATACTTAAGACAGAGCTAGCCGATAAGAAACTAGTAACTGGCCAACAGCATTATATCAAATACAGAGTCTCTGTGCGTTATTTGGGGCTGGAGAGGCAGCGGGACAAGACCAGCGACAGGAGGAAAAACCATACTCCTTACAGGTTTCCCTGTAGCTTTGGAGACTTTCCTGGAGCTCACTCTGTAGACCAGGCTGGCCTCCAACTCACAGAGATCCACCTGCCTCTGCCTCCCAAGTGTTGTGATTAAAGGCGTGAGCCACCAATGCCCCAGCTAAGAAGCTCTTTTCTTCACTCAATAACCAAATGCAATTATCATTATGAGCCTGTCCTTAGCTAAGGTAATTAAAACCGCTATCTTTTGTAACCCAAGAACAAAATTGTGAAATAACTACACCAAATTCCCTGAGGACAAATGGATAAATTCCTCGCTTGCTTGGCTGCAAAACCCCAAGGCCATTCCTTACTTTTCCTCTAACTCTTAACTTACACTTCACTTTCTTCTAGAAACCTGCCAAGCACCTCAACGGCTAGGACTGTATGTAAAGACACAGCAATGAGAAAGGGCATGGATCATGTCCTCAGAACAACAGTGATATGGCTGCATGGAAATAAGAAAGAATTAAGATCAGAAATCCCATAGTCAGAGACAAGAACTCACCAGCTACCTGTAGCTCAACATTCTGTGACCTTCAGGTGTTCTCTCCAAAAGCCTCACTGACTTTCTCTGAGTATTATACTACACAATATAAAACTCTTCAATAAAATGTAAAGGCTTGGCCAGAGAGATGGTCAATGGTTAAAGACATTTTTGCTGATGACCTGATTTTGTGTCCCACACCCCTACATGGTAGAGAGAACCACCTACCACAAATTGTCTCTGACCTTTACACACATGCATTCATGCACACACACAAATATATATAAACATAATAATTTTTTAAATTAAGTATTTATTTATTATGAATACAGTATTCTCCTGCATGTATGCCTGCAAGCCAGAAAAGGGCACCAGATCACATTACAGATGGTTTGTGGTTGCTAGGAATTGAACTCAGGACTGGAAAAGCAACCAGTACTCTTTAACAGCAGAGCCATTTCTCCAGCCCAATAAAAAATTCTTGAAGATGAGCCGGAAAGTAGTGGCTCATGCCTTTAAACCCAGCACTTGGGAACACAGGCAGATCTCTGTGAATTCCAGCCTGGTCTACAGAGTAGTTCCAGGACAGCCAGAGCTGTCTCTGTTACACAGAGAAACCCTGTCTGGAAAAAACAAAAAAAAGAAAAAAAGAAAATTTGAAGATGGAGAGGCGATGATGATAAAGTTGGGCCAGATTTGTAGTCTCAAAAAACCAAAAGAGAAAAAAGTAACACAAAAAAAAAAAAAAAAAAAAAAAACCCTTTTGTGTCTGAGAAAGGGACAGGAAATTCTGGTTAAAACCACTAAAGAAGTATAACCTCTGTGCCAGGCAAAATAACCCAGAAAGATCAATCCCACCCAGACACAAGGAAACTGAGGCTGAGCCAGGACAAAAAGAGGACCTCCCCGCTCCCCACTAGGAGTTTGCATCCAGAAAAAAGAAAGAACAATATGACACCCAGAGTATAGCAAACTATACATCTAGAAGGGCAGAAGCTGAGAGTAAAACTGAGAAAAAGTCTTCTCTATAGAAAAGCAAACCCACCCCAAGCACAAAGAAACACCAGAGGTAAGGTTACCTACAGCACCATAGTAACAACAAAACCTCAACGCAATTCTTATATTTAATTGTTTCAAACTCTTCTACCAAGAATCCTGCAAAAGAGTCATACCTCTTTCAGAATAAAAATTATATACCTCGTTTGGAAGTGTTAGTGTACATCTTTAATTCCAGCACTTGGGAGGCAGAAACAGGGGAATCTATGTGAGTTTGAGGCCAGCCTGATCTACAGAGTGAGTGCCACCAGGACAGCTTCCAAAGCTACAGAGAAACCCTGTCTCAAAAAAAAAAAAAAAAGAAAAAGAAAAAGGAAAAAAAAAAAAAGAAACAAAAACAAAAAATTATAACTCAAATTTCTCATATTCTACAAACTATGGCAATCACTAGCAAAAAAGTATAAGTAAGGAAAGAAAAAAAGAAAGCAAAAAAAACAACCAACTATCAAGAAGCAAGATAATCAACATGACCAGATTTGGAGAGAATCCAGATATTAGAAACATCAAATAGACTGTTTAAAATACTATAATGGGGAGAGTGGGGGTGGACAGATGCAATCAGTTGCTTGTGGTCCTGGCTACTTAGAGGCCCAAGACAGGAGGATCACTTAAGCCCAAAAGTTCAAGACTAGTCTGTGTAATACAGCAATACCTCATCACAAAAAAAAAAAAAAAAGAGCAAGAACAAAAGAACAAAAAAGTCAAGGGATGGTGGGTGAGGGGACAGCTCTAATGGGAGATGTCATTCTGTATATGTTTCTCATACTGGTTAATGAATAAAGCACTGTTGGCCAATAGGAAAGGAAGATAGGAGGGACTAGGAGACAAGGAGGAAAGAGGAAGTAGTGGGGAGGGGTCAAGATGGAGAGTCTGGAGAAAGCAGAATGCCGGCAGGCTCCCCGGTAAGAGAAGACCACGTGGAAATACTAGATTAATAGAAATGGGTTAATAGTTAAGACAAAGCTAGCCAATAAGAAACAAGTAACTGGCCAACAGAATTATATCAAATACAGAGACTCTGTGTATTATTTGGGGCTGGCGCGGCAGCGGGACAAGACTAGGTGGCGGGCAGAAAAACCTTACTCCTTACACAGCTCAGTGCTTCCTATATAATCATGAGACACTTCCTCAAAAACAAAGTGCTCAGACACAATGGCTAGTAGCACATGTCTTTATCCCGGCATTTAGGAGGCAGAAGCAGGAGGATCTCTGTGAGTACCAGTATCAGTAGCAGTATTTACACAGACTCTTTCTTAAAAAAAAAAAAAAAAAAAAAAAAAAAACACAAGGTAATAACTGACTTCCACAAAAATACATATACGTACACACAAAAAGCAAAACATATAATAACTACAATGAGTCTGGGCGTATAGTTCAGTGGTTGGGTCATTGCAGAGCATTAACTGTGGAGCCTGGTGGTGGTGGTGCACCACCTATAATCCCAGCACTCGGGAGGCAGAGGCAGGCAGATTTCTGTGAGTTCGAGGCCAGCCTGGTCTACAAGAGCTAGTTCCAGCACAGCATCCAAAGTCACAGAGAAACCCTGTCTTAAAACAAACAAACTATATATATACATACATACATACATTCATACTTTGGTTAATATATTAAAGGCTCTAATGAAAATATTCAAAAGTAAGAGGAACAAATGTAGAAAACTATGAGTCAGAAGAGAAAAAATAAAACAGGGCAAAACATATAAAAGCTATAGGACAATCAGTATTCAAATGATCTTCAGTAAGTAGGGGGAGGGAGACTATTTTACTTTTATTTAGACTATAAATGAAGCCTGTTATGGCACAAAGGAAAAAAAAACACCTGATAATACTATCATAAAGAATAGGAAGCAAACTGGGAAAAATACTATATAAAGTGATGTATAAAATACATTTTAGTGAAGGAATATATTATTTAAGAGTAGACTATAATTAAAGACTCATGAGGGTAAAGTATAGCTCAGTGGTAGAGAGCATGCCAGACGTATAATTATGGCCTTATCCCCTAGAGACCAGTAAAAGATTTACACTATAAAATTAAGGCAACAATTAAAAAAAAATTAAAGAGGTATAAAAAATGGGCCAGCTGTAGAGAGCTAGCTGGGTGTGATGACATATGTCTATATATCAGGCTAGCCTCAAACTTGCAGCAATCTTCCTGCCTCTACAGGAGTCCTGAGTACTGAGACTATTGGTATGCATGTCTATCTGAAATAACAGGTTTTAATCAAGTTATATAACTACATTTAATATAAATGATATAAACACACCAAGTAAAGATACTGTTAACTGTTAGACTGACTACAAAGCAAATCCCAGTATGTATACTATAGGAAATCACTTTAACTATAAAGACATAAACTAAGTTACTGAGAAAAAGAACAAAAGACCCAAACAGATAGGGTATTTGCCTGGTAGGCACAAAGCCCTAGGTTTGCTCTCCAGTACAGCATAAACCCAGTACAGAAGCCCACACCTATATCTCAGTGCTCAAAAAGTGAAGGCAAAAGGATCAAAATAGTTTATCTTCATATATATATCAGAGTTCAAGGCCAGCCTAGGCTACACTAGACTCCTAGGCTCTACAAAAGTCTGTTTCACAAAAGAAAGAAAAAAGGAGCTGGAAAGATGGCTCACTGGTTAAGAGCACTGGTTGTTCTTCCAGAGGACTTGGGTTCAACAGTTCACAACTGTCTGTAACTTCAGTTCCAGGAGAACTAACACCTTCACACCAATGCACATAAAATAGTGTTAAATAAATTATATTTAAAAAAGGAAAATAACAAACATAAGCATAAAAAAAGAAAGCTGGGAATTTAGTATGGTTGTTTATACCTATATTTCTAAATACTAGGGAGACTAAGTTAGGAAGATAACAAACTAAAGGATACCCTTAACTACATAGAGAGACCATGTCTCCAAAAAAAAAAAAAAAGCTCAGTCAGTAAACAACACTTGCACAAGCCTGATAACCAAGTTCAATCTCCTGAACCCATGAAAAAGCCAGATGCATAGCTGTAATCCCAGCACTCGATGGCCAGATGGAAGGCTGAGATAGGCAAACCAGCAGGAAGCTTGTAGGCCAGATAGCCTGGAGTATGCTTACAGCAAGAGATTTTGCCTCAACAAGCTGGAAGGTGAGAACCAACTCCCTAAAGTTGTCCTCTGACCTCCACATGCATTCCATGGCTGTCTCTAATGTGCCCACACTCATGCACACATTAAAAAAAAAAAAAAGAATTTAAAAAGTATACATAAGTAAAACAAAGCAAAAAGATGCTTTTGTTAAAAGCTGTTAAAAAAAAAAACACACACACACACATAAACAGATATATATGGGTTGGTTTTTCATTTTGAGACAATGTCTCACTCTGAACCAGAAGCCAAGCTGTCCTAGAACACAGTATTTAGACCTCTAGACATTCTTTTGTCATTGTGCTTGTTTTTCAGGTAAAGGCTGATGAAGGAATATAAGTCCAAAAAAGTTATATTAACTACAGTAAAGGTTTAAATTCATTTGCATTTAATCAGTCCCATAGTACTAGAGATACCTATAAGAGAGGCATTGTCTATACCAGAGGATCTGCAGACCCTCTGAAACAATGGTATGAAAACTGCTAGCTTAAGGGGCCCACCTTAAGCCTGGTATTAGAAGTGGGTTATCAAAATTCTACCAAATCACCTATCAGAGTTGACTGCCTTCAATTCTTATATAATAGTTAAATTAAATCAGTGTTAAGTCATACATAGTTACCAGTCTCAATCTCTAACATGCTGACATCTCTAAAATCATTGTTGAAAACAATTTCTATGAATCATTCAATTTATCCCCAAGATATCCTATCTTGAAAACACAATGTCACACCCTATTTGGAAAGACACATCCCAGGGGCTAAAAGTGTTACTCAATGGATAGAGTGCATATTTAGCAGGGTTGAGGCTTGAGACCCTGGGTTCAATCCTCAGCCCTGATAAGAAAAAGAAGAAAAAAACAGCAGTTACAAGTGGGATCTCATCATATCTTCCAGGATTCTACAGACCCCTAAAAGTTTTTCATAAAAATTGAACAAGGAAACTATCATATTCAATTTTTAAGAAAAAAAGTAAATCAATATCAGAATGAAATCATAAAGAAAGTTGTAGATATATTTACTGTATCTTTTTATCACATAACAAAATTATGTTTACCATCTTATGGAGAATATCAAATAATTGAGACACAATTTACCACCCAATCACAATGGCTAAAATATTCTTACTTCTGCAAGGAATGGTGGCCCATGCCTTTTATCCCAGCACTTAGGAGTTGGACGCAAGCAGATCTCTGTGAGTCTGAGGCCAGCTTGTTCTACACAGTGAGTTCTATCACAGCCAAGGCTACACAGAGAAACCCTGTCTCAAAACAAAACAAAATACAACACAAAAACAAAACAAAACAAAAACAACAACATAAAATAGAGGTAAGCATTGTAGCTCAGGCCTATAATCACAGCACTTGAGAGGCTAAAAATCATCCCCATCTACAAAGAGTTTGAGGCCAGCCTAAGCTACACTGAAACCCAGTCTTGAAAAAAAAATTAAAAACATATAAAAAAATTCATTTACAAAACAAATTTCATGACACTATGATTTTTGTTTGTTTTGTTTTGGTTTTTTGAGACAGTGTTTGTGTAGTCCTGGCTGTCCTGGAACTCTCCATAGACCAGGCTGTCCTCTTAATCCTTTTTACTAGCATCATAGTCACAAAGTATGCAAATAACTACAGATTCCTTTTTATAAATATAGATGGAAGGAAGAAAGGAAAGACAAACAAACAGAGTGGTAATAATCACCTGTCAAACTTCAAATTGTTTCACCACAAATGAGTCAAGTACCAAGAAGCAAAAAATGCTTTCAGTAAGGGTTAATTCCACTTCTCTGTTTTGGCCATTCAATCACTGTAACAAAGAAAAAGTTCTTAGTTACTTTATCAAAGAAAAAAAAATAACAGAAAGCATTAGGATGATATTTTCTCCTGTAAAATCTCAATTTTACATGTTTAATAAAGGCAGCCCTCAAATGAACTCTGAGGGTATGACAGACACGATCAGCCCAAATTTGGTGTCAGGAAACTACCATGATCACCTCAAGTCAGTAGGCAGATATTACTCCCAGGTCCTAAGAGCATCATATATATAACTGTTGTAGAAAATCTCCACATTCTAACTAAATATTACAGCAAGAATGCACAAAAGTCAGGAAATTTCCTCTATCAAGATATTCCAAGATCAGTTACATAACTGGTATATACATTTGGTCAAAAAAAAAAAAAAAAAATCCCGTCAAATAAAGGTAGAGGGTGAAGGAGGGGGGAAAAAAATCAAGCTTATAAAGTTTTCTTTCTGTCTTTGTCTTCCTGTCTTTCTTTTTCTCTCTTGTTTGAGGAAATAGGGATGAAACCCAAAGTTTTGCATATGGTAGGCAAGTACTATCCGAGGCCCTATATCCCCATCAGGATTGTCAATTTTTCCCCCTCACATTTGCTAAGAAAGGAAAACCAAACATAACTCAAGGAAATAGCCTAAGACCAAAGTCGGGAAGAAAAAGCCATCTGTATGAAACCACAATGTAACCTTAACTAAGCCTGGGCAGCTTCCTGTAGGGCCTCACCAGGTAAAAAAGTAAAAATTACCTCAGGAAGCAAATGGCAGGCAGGTTTCAAATCTGCTACAGCTAAATCTTCAAATCCAGGAGCAGCGCTCAGAAGGCGCCAAAGAGCTGAGCGTCCCGCCACATGACCAGTTAGATTAGTTGATGGGGGTTTTGTCCCATCAACAACAGAGACTGAATTCTTTGCCACACATAGCCAGCCCAGTGTTCACGATCGGTTTCCCAAGACTTGTTAATTTAGATGTTGATTTCTATTTATACTGACCCATTACACAACACGGTGACTAGCCTTTGGGCTTAGTGCTCAGTACAGAATTTTCAGAATGCTTCACAAATATTTCTTGACATTTGTGACACGAGATGACAAAATATGGAGACACTCAAAAGCGCCACGAGAGCACCGTGTTCCCAAACGCCAACACCTCAGCACTCTAAGTCCCAGCACGAGTCGGAGGTTTCAACAGCCCCAAGAAGCTACATTCCTGCAAGCACACACCAGCCCAGCAAGCAGTCTCCGTCCTCACACTCAAGGTCTCTCGAACAACAGCTTCTCCCTCGCAGTCTATGCTCCAGGGGATGGATCAATCAGGCTCGCACCATCACAGATGACGAAGGACCCAGTCTTCCAGTTTTCACACTCGTACTTTCTCACACTCAAACCTCCTTCACCTGTCTCCGACTCTCTCAGGGTAGCACACACCCCAGAGTCACCCTCACACCCACAGCCTTTCTCCTCGCACTCTGGGTTTTTCCGTCACACACGCAGGGTCTCTCTCACACTTGCTGCCTCGCAGTCTTCTCTCTCACAGTCCCCCTCACGCTTAGGGTCTTGCACACTCACAAAACCACCCAGGGTCTCTCCCTCTCCCTCACACGCGCACGCGCGCTCGTCTTCCTCACACCACCGTCCACCCCGGGCTCCACGCTCCCGGCGTCCTCCTCTAGGGCGCGCCGTCTGTCCCGCGCCCTCCGCCCCACGCGCTTTCCGGCTCGCATCCAGCACGCGGCGACGGCGGCCCAGCAGAGCGTTCGGCCGCACACGAGGCGGCCCGGCCCGGAACCAGCCCCGGGCCGAGCCGCAGCGAGCCCCTCACCTCCTCACCCCCGCCAGACAGCTCCCCGTGTCCCGGCGCTGCCAGGATACTCGGTCGCGCTGCCGCCGCAGCCGCCCAAGCCCCGCCCACGCCACGTCACTCGCACCGGATCGCGACAGCGCGCGCCGCCTGAGGACCCGGCTCGGAGCGGGGGCTTCAGGCGGCGTTGCTTCCGGGCACCAGAGCACGCCGGTGCCCGCGGCGGTCCGCGTGCCGTTACAGAGCAGCCTCCAGCAGGCCGCGCCCGGGGCCCCACGCGGACTGTGACTGGGGTCCGGTCACCCTCACCTGGGATGGCCACTCCCGGACTCGGCCCGTAGGGATGCTGCGCCGTTGGAGCTCTAAAAAGTCCCCACGCTCCCCATCTCCTCCTTGGCCTTTGATGGGGACTGCACACCCAATGGGACCTCAGACAGTTCACAAACACAAAGACCCCTAGACCGCCCATGAAATCCAGGAAGAAATCACACTCAGGACCTGTGCTCTGCCATTCAGTTCAGGCTCACTCCGACCCTGGAAGGCACAGCCACTCTTGCTCCCTTCTTCCTTATCCACCCCAGGGCTTTGTCCTGGTCTGGTCCGACCCTGCTGACATCCCTCTTGGGGAAGCTGCAGCCTTCTGTCCTTTTCCTCTCCTATCTCCTTTTAGGTTATCCTTTTCTTGAGTAGCGCCGGCGCTCAGGCTAAGACCTGCTTTTAGATTCCACTGGACTCTCTAACCGACCTGTCTGACAGGAATAAATATTCTAAATAGACAGTTGTACTCTCATCTTAGGCTATCATATTAAAAAAAAAAAAAAAAAAAAATGGACCCCGTACCCAGGAGGTGGTGGTACAAGCCTTTAATCCCATCACTCGGGAGGCAATGACAAGTGGATCTCTGTGAGTTCCAGACCAGCCTGATCTACAGAGTGAGTTCTAGAACAGCCAGAGTTATTATACTTAGAACCCCTTTCTCCAAAAAACGAAAACAAAAACAAACGAACAAAAAAATATATATATATAGACCTCAAGAAATCATTTCCTCCAGGAATTTCCTGGTATGAGAAGAAGCACCCAAAGGAAGAACATACCCCTTGGGGAAAAACTTACAACTTGGACAGATGATCTTCAAAGAGACAGGGAATTCACAAGGGACTACACCTAGTTTCCACTTCTTGCTTAAGATTTAAACCTTATCCTGGGGGCAGAAGAGATGGCTCAGTAGTTAAGGGAGAGGGAGGCAATTCGATTCCCAGTACTCATGAGTTAGCTCATAACCACCTGTAACTCCAGTTCTTGGGAATCCTGCAGGCAGGCAGGTGGGCAGGCAGGCAAAAAACATACACACATAAAGTAAAATAAATCAAAAAAAAAAAAAAAAATTAGTAGGGCTTAGTGACACCTGCCTTTAATCTGAGCCTGGGGTAGGCCAAGGGGGTTAGATTTCTAAATTCAAGGTTAGCCAAGGTTACACAGACCCTGTCTCAAAACAAAAATAAAGAACAAAAGAATTGAAACACAACAGGCACCAGCAGCAGAGCTGAATGTCTTTAATCCCAGCACTCGGGAGGCAGAGGCAGGCAGATCTCTCTGGGTTCAAGACCAGCCTGATCTACAGAGTGAGTTCCAGAACAGCGGAGGCTACACAAAGAAGCCCTATCTTGGAAAACAAAAGTAAAATAAAAACAACTAAATAAAAAGCCCTATCCTTAAAGCAGAACCTCCAAAGATGGACTGGTGGGGGAGGGGTGTCACTGGGTCTCTTTGTCACTCTTCCCAATGTGGATTTATTCACATTGAATAAATCTGTTTCTCACTATAGATTTGGCTCCATTCATCAGTTAATTGAGTATGTGTGGCTAAATCTAGTTTGTTGGGTAACAAGCTGTACCCAAAAATATGGTACCATGTTCCTGTTGTCCATGTTTCACTACACACAGACTGGACTGCTGCCCAGTCATTTCTTCTAGCCAAGTATCCTGGTCAGACACTCAAACCATTACTCCCATCCACTCAGTTGAAAATGCAGAACATCTAACTTCTTTTTCCAGCCTGCATGCCAATCCCTAGCCAGGTGCCTCAGAATCCAACCTGCAGCACCTGCCGTGCACACACTCCATACCTCACCCAAAATTACTTAAAATCTTATGAGATTAGTGGGTGGGGTTTTTTTTTTTTTTTTTTTTGTATGTTTGTTTGTAAATTTTTGTGAAATTCTACAAAGTGTGAAATTTTGTAACTTGATTGGTTTATTAGAATGCAAGATTTGTAATGACTGGGCTGGAGAGATGACTCAAAGGTTAAGAGCACTGGCTGCTCCTCTGGAGGTTCTGAGTTCAATGGAGGCTCACAACCATCTATATTGGAATCTGGTGCCCTTTTCTAGAATGCAGGCAGAACACTGTATATACAATATATAAATAAATCTAGAGGAGAAAAATTTTAAGGACAAAGTCATGTTGAAATATCCAAAGATTATCCGTCTCCAGCCGCCGCAGAGAGAAGAGCTGCCGCCATGTCTGGGCATCTGCAGTGGATGGTCGTTCGTTACTACTCCAGTTTCCTGATCAAGAGGAATAAGCACACCTACAGCACCGAGCTCAATAATCTGAAGGCCCACAACTCCTTCCGCTAAACAGGCTGTGAGAGTAGAGCCCGCGGCCGACCGCAAAGGGGTAATGGTGGTCATGAAACGCAGATCTGGTCAGCGAAAACCAGCCACATCTTACCTAAGGACCACTATCAACAAGAATGCTCCAGCCTCTCTCAGCACCATCAGGCACATGATCCGAAAGAACAAATGCCGCTCAGATCTATGCATGGCGGCCATCCTCCGAAGCCAGAAGCCCCTGGTGGTTATGAGGAAACGGACCAGTCCCGCCAAGCGCTCCTGAGCCCTCTCACCCCAAAAGCAATAAAGAGTCCACTGACTTTTTCGACCAAAAAAAAAAAAAAGAAAAGAAAAGAAAAAAAAAAAAAGAAAGAAAGAAAGAAAGAAAAGAAATACCCAAAGATTATTGACACCTGTAACACATTTCCCTATCACCATGGGGTAGGAGATGCTTCTAAAATACAAATTGGAATAGCTTCAAATCTCCCCTAAAGGGGCTGGAAGGATGGCTCACCAGTTAAGAGTTATGTCTAGTCTCTGAGGGCATCTACATGTACCGTACCCACAATACAGATGCAAATACAAATGCATGATTAAAAATAAAATCAGTATCTAAAAAAACAAAAAAACAAAAAAAAAAAAAAAAAACCCTTCTGCTGGAGAGAGGGCTCAACGTTTAAAAGCACTGGCTGCTCTTCCAGAGGTTCTGAGTTCAATTCCTAGAAACAACATGGAAGCTCACAACCATCTATCATGGGATCTAATGCCCTCTTCTGGTACACACACATACATGCAGACAAAGCATATATAAACAAATCTTTTAAAAGACTCTCCTAGCTAGGCATCAGTGGCGCACACCTTTAGTCCCAACAACTAGGGAGGCAGGGGCAGGCGGATCTCTGTGAGTTCAAGGCCAGCCTGGCCTACAGAGCCAGTTCCAGGACAGGCTCCAAAACTACACAGAGAAACCCTATCTCGAAGAAAAAACAAAAATATAAAAACATAAAAAACTCTCCTAAAACATTTCCTTTCTCCTCCTGATGAATGAAAATGAGGACATGACCACTCCTAGGTACGGTTGAAAAGGTTTTTATTGTAGATATGAGGGAGGGTACTGCAGAGGCACCTGGAAGACTCCAGATGAACATGGCAGCAGAACAGACCAGGCCATGAGAGGAGGGGAGGGGGTAGAGCAAGAAGTGGGGGGAAGAAGAGAGGGCTAATGGAGGAAGAGAGGAGCTGAGGACTCAGAGGCCAAGAGAATGACCAAAAGAGCACAGAGCCAAAATGGCGGAGTTTATATAGGAGAGAGAAGCTGAGGGAAGGGAAGCAAACTTAGGGGCTGGAGAGGGTGGGGGTGGGGGACGTGTTAAGAAGTGCCAGAACTCTTGATTGGGTAGTAACAGGTTCTGGAAGAGTCTGGCAGCCAGCATCCAATGCCAATAGGTACCTCAGTTAGCCATTTGTCCCACGTATTGTTGAGACTTAACACCTACAAGCTTATATGATGACAGTCCTTCAGGAACCCTTGTTGGTGCCACCCCTTTTTGCATCCTCTGCTTAAAAAAAAATCCGTGAAAGGTCTCTGATGCAAGAGGGCCTGAGGTGGATCTTTGGGTGTATGGAGTTCATTAACAGAGCTGTTAACACCATGGAGAACACAGACAAGACAGACAACAGCATGGCAGGGGCTCTGAGGAGAGTTCAGGCTCCAGCACCAAGAGCATGGTACAGTGTCTAAAGACAGGAAATCAATAGGTCGTCTCTTATATCACTCTGAGGATGAGGGAGGTTTCCCAGCACAATCCTGCAGCCAGACCCTCTGATTCCCAGGCAAAGGCAAGATAGGGGGCGGGGAGCAGGCCACCAATACTCCTTTGATGTAAGCTCCCTATCCCATAAGAGAAACAGACAAGGTATCAGGACAATACCTATCAGTATTGCAGGGCGGGGAGGGCAATAAATACTGCAGCCTGGACAGCAGCTGGATTCCCTTACACCTTACACACCTCTGGAAGCATAAGTGAATCTGCAAATATTTAGGTCAGTTGATCTTGATCCTTTACCTCTAGAATCAGTTTCCCCAGCCTGTCCAACTCAAAGCTCTGGTCCTTCCATTTAGTGACAGCCACCCATTTGTCCTTGCAATAGTTACATAGAGGAACCTGCTGGCTTGCATCCAGATCTCTGGCTTTGCTGTCTCACATTCACATATAAAACTCTTCAACTGAAGGCTCACTCTGTATAAGACACAGGATCAGATATTTTCCAGCATCAGCATTCTTGTTCCACAGGAGCATCCCTGTACCATATATTTGTCTTCAATCAGGTAAGGAAGCTGAGGATCAGGAAGGTCAAAAGGTCAAAAGAAAATTTGCTGATCCTGATAGATTTCCTTTTTTGCATCTCTGAAGTTCCGGCCCCAGTAAGGCTAAAATAAGAGTTGGAAAGAACAGACTACAGGTCATCATAAAAGATGGCATGGGTGGAGCTGTGGGTAGGGGTCAAGCAGAGTAGGACCTGGAGTGAGGCTTGTTTTTCATGTTATCAACCTTTCACTTAGACCAGTGCACAGCTGGGTTTGGACATCCTTAACTCATTCCCCCTTTTTTAACCAACCCTTCCTTCCAGGTCTGGCTAACACTACTTTCATTATACCCGGAACAGTGCGGCTTAGATCGCCCTCTAGTGGCCATAGAGTATATCAGCAGCCTGACCAACTCAATTGGGAAACTGGTATGGGAACTAGCCATCTTCAGTGGCCCCAAGCTCTATGCAACAAAGTTCAGGCGGGGGGGGGGGGGGGGGGGGGGATTCCTCTGCATGCTTCCCTATCTCAGACACTCCCTTCGTCCGTCCATCTCTATGCTCTCCCATATCTTAGCCATCTCATACCATTCTGCCCATCCCAGTCTTAACCTAGACTCTATTCCTCCTACTAGGATCCTTGAGAACAGGAAAGCTCACAGGAGTCTATGGACTTCCATGTCTTCCACATCTGGGTTTTCAGGGCTGGCAACAGTTTCCCAGCATGTGAAGCAAAGTTCTAAGAGATCTTATGGTGGAGCTGAGCTGGCCAGTGCCTGATTTCTTACAATGACTTCCTGTCCAGACTCAGAAGGCCAGGAGATAAGACTCAGAATTAGGAAAGGTGACTTCCTAAAATGAACTTTTAAGTTCAAAAGACACTGGGACCAGAAGATGAGGGAAGACAGAGGCTATGGAGCCCAGCCAGGCTCATTTGCAGGACCATCCTTTATCCCCACCCTCAGCTTTGGAGCATCATATAAGGACTGCTGATTTGGCAGAAACAGGGTGAGGACAAAAGCCCAACTCTAAGAGATAGTTCTGGTCTGTTCCTTGGTCCCAGTGGAGAAATGGATTCCAGAAGAGGACAGAAGGATAAAGCAAAGGCAGAGGGTAATGCTGAGACCCCTGCAAAGTTGCAGCCCAATTACTCACCTCTATAGCACCTTCCTACTTGACACCTCCCTCCTTTCATGCACAGTGCAGAACAAAGCACCTTACAGCATCCAGAATACTTTTTATTGCCAAAATTGAGGTACAGCTTGCTCAGAGCCCCAGGTGGGGGCCACCATCAGGTGAGGGAAAGATGGTGGGAATGTGCCTAACAAAGGAAGCCCAGTGAGAATCGTCGTGGGAAGGCAGTGTATGCGTACTCCAGGCTGAAAGTGGTTTGGGGACCCCAACCTAAAAGCTGACCCACGTCTCAGCCTATAGTCAGGTCCTCTGTCCCTAAGATAGGCCCAGATTCACCATCCCTGCTGTCACACACAGACCACGCAGCATCCCTGGGGCAAACAAAAAGCCCCTAGCTGGGATGCTATGCTCCTGGATCTGGGGGACCTTTTAATCTCTAACTAACTCCAGCAAACCAAACCCGTTCAGATGCCTGGTGGGAGCAAGTGTTGGGCAGGAACTCTATCACCTCTCGCCCCTTGTGCCAGCCCACGTGGTGGTAGAAAGACCCCACAGCAGTGTGCCATATGGTGGTGGAGTTCTCAAGGAGACTCAGGGAAGGTTGTTCCCTTGAGCGCCCTTTCTTCTAGGTACCAAGCTAGAAGGCTGTAGCCTTAGGCCCTGGTCACTTTAAACTACAGTCCCAGAACCAAGAGAGCCAGCTTCAGCTCTGGGACTCACATCACAACTAAGGAGATCGGGAATCCTAGGCCCCCAGAACTGAGGGGTCCTCTGCTGCCCAATCCAGAACTAGGACTAGGATGCTGTCAGAGGTGAGAGGTAGGAATGGAGTCTAAACACCCCAGGACCTGAAGGATCATGGAGAACACAACAAACTGCCCTGCCTGCAGGGGTGCTGGATTACCTCCAGGAGGCTACACTCAGAATGTCCACCAGTGAGGGTACAGGGAGCCCTAGCCAGTAGGCTACCTGATGCCAGTGTATGGGAAGGTCACCTGAGGGTCACTGTGGAACCTTCCTCAGTAACATCCCTCACAGGAAGGTTAGAGCCCAGCGGGCTAAAACAGAAAGGCCAGAGCACTTGGAGGACTGCATGGCCCGAGCTGGGGACTAGGGTGAAGAGCCATACAAGCCATCCTACAGAGCCAGTCTGAGGTGGCAATGCCATCGGTAGGAGCATTCTTCCCACCAAATGTCCTTTGAATCCACACTTGTGTCTTCCTTCTTCACTGCCCTTATACATACGAAGGATGAGAAACAGCATTCTCCTGAGGCAGACGCCTCACAGCCTAAGACCTGGGACCTTGAATAATGGTCACAAACCTTTTACCAAGCTTGCAAGCCATGAAAGGGTCAGAGCCCAAGAGAAGCTCCATGGTCCAGCCATCCAGCAGCCCAGCTTGGCACAGGAATCAAGGCTCAAAAAGCACATGTTTCAGATAAGCCAAGGTAGTGGCATTGGCTAACATCTCGATGTGTTCACTTCCTGGCAGCTCCTGCAATGATACTTTGTGCTCTTGGCGGCTCTGCCAGGCCTGGCACTGCATGACATTCTCCAAGTTCACAGTGCCATCACCATCACCAAAGCAGATCTTTGGGTCACGATCAGGAAAGTTCTCATAGTAGAAAGAGTCTGGTGTGGGGACGCCAGTGCCATAGAGGCAATGCAGTGCCACACCAGGTGGCATCATGGCTTCAACCAGCCCTTCTGTGTCCTGCCGCATGAACCAGCCATCTTCAAATCTGATATCCTGGAAGAATTGGCGATAGTCTCGGAGTGTGTAGTTGGTTGTGGGTGTGTGGACAAATACCTTGTCATGTGACCAGGTGTGGTTGTATGGCAGTAGCCAGCTGGTGGAAACAGCTGAGCGCTGCTGCTCTCGGATCTTCAGTGGCCCAATAACAGGGATTCGATTGTTGTCTCCTGGAAGGAAAGAGTTCGGATTAACCTGTGCCAAGGGAGCCAAACCATTTGGACAGCAGGTTCGACAATCCAGTCAATGTTCAATACTCTTAGACTGTAGATATCATCATGACCCCCATCTCTGCACCACTGACTTTTATTTCTTTTGCCTTCTTTCTTTCCTATCTTTTTCTGTATGTGGAAAGTGTGCATCCATATATCTACATTTCCTTGTGTATTTCCTCACTAGAGATTCAGCCTGCACTCTGCCTCAAGTTATTCATTGTTTGCTCATCTATCAAGGGCACCCTGCTAAGTGTCTATCAGCATGTATGTGAGCATTAGTCTTATCTAAGGGGAAACAGCAAGACAAAAGGCTGGTTGGGTTTTTTGTTTGTTTGCTTTGTTTTATTACACTGAACTATATATATGCCTTTCTTTTCCTAGGTCCTAGGTCCAGATCAGCATTCAGCCAGCCTGGTTTCGTCCTACCCATCTACAAGCCTGTGCACTGACTCAGAAGGCCAGACTTACTGGAAGAAGGCATTGGGGTAGGAAGCTACTGCTGGAGTCAGCTACAGCTAGAATCAACTATGACTGCAATCAGCTACAGCTGGAATAAGCTAACTGCCAGATAGAGTTGGCTGCAACTGGAGTCAGCCAGGGGGCTTTAAAAAAATAAAAAGAACATGAAATTGGGAGGAGGATGTGGTATGGGAGAGGACCAGGAGGAGCTGGAAGGAAGGATTGACAGGGGTTATGACCAAGTACATTGTCTATATGTCTATTCTCAAAGAATAAATAAAAATGCCTTTTTAAAAACTGTAGTTGGGCTGGGCGTTGGTGGTGCAAGCCTTTAGTCCCAGCACTTGAGAGACAGAGGCAGGTGGATCTCTGTGAGTTCGAGGCCAGCCTGGTCTACAGATCAAGTTCCAGGACAGCCTCCAAAGCTACACAGAGAAACCCTGTCTCAGGAAAAACAAACAAACAAACTGTAGTCAGCTGCAGATGAGCCTTTCAGGGCCTGAGGCAACTGAGAAAGGAGTTAACTTGTTCAAGTACTACCATAAGCCATTATCCAACACTATCTGAAAGTAGCAAGCCCTGTTGGCTGACCTCAGGGTCCCAGCTTTGCTTGCTACCCCTAGAATCCTTGGGGAAATGGAAACCCCCCCAAGAGTCCGGTGGATTTCTATCTCTCCCACCCCTGAATTTGTAGGGTTGACAGCAGTTTCCTAGCATCTGAGGTAAAGATCTAAGGGTTTTACTGGAAAACTAAATGCCTGAATTTTTACCATGTCTCGATATCAGATTCTGAAGGTGTGCACATGTCTCCCTGGAGGCCCAGGAATGGCAGAATATATGGCTGAAGAATCCTCACCGTATCTAAACATCTGAGCCATGACCTTATTGTCCCCTCAATTCAGGATCACTCCTGGGAGGAATTCTGAACCTGACCTGATCACATCATTCAGATGAGCAAGCAGGTCAGGCAATACCAGAGACAGCAGAAAGAAAGCTTAGAGACCCCTGAGATGGCCCCCAAGTAAGGGGGCCCAGGGTCACCACTCAGTCATGAGGGAAGGAGGACAGCTTCTCCCTGCATCAGGAGGACCTGCCCCATGGCTGTAGATGGTGGTCCTACGGTGACAAAAAACTGGAGGACCAAAAGAGGGTTGACTTCCCCAACTGCCAGGCAAGCTGACCCACCTGTTTCCTCCCTGTGTTGCCCGCTCACAGAGGCAGGTGAAACTCATAAACAGGAAATGGCAGGCAGCCTTCTTCTGGTTAGGAAAGTGGGGGCAGGGCAAGAAAAACTTGAGAAGGGACCCCAAAGGACTGTGGGTCAAACCAAGTTCTGCCAGCCAGATAGATACACAGCACTGATGGTCCATGTGCACACACACATAAGCAAATACTGTGTGACCAAAGTTATGCCGCTCTGTGTACAATACTACAACAGATGACAAGGGCTATCAGCTAGAGAGGAGAAACTCGGAGTACTATAGATTTTCTTTTTATTGCTTTGTGGGGGGGGGGGGATTGAGACAGGGTTTCTCTGTGTGTGGCCCTGGCTGTTCCAGAACTCGTTCTACAGATCAAGCTGGCCTAGAACTGACAGAGATCCACCTGCTTCTGCCTCCCCAGTTCTGGGATTAGAGGCGTGCACCACTGTTCCACAATTGCTTATTTTTTTAAAATGTGTGTGTGCATGTGTGTCCATGTGAACACTACAGCATGCATGCAGAGCTCAGAGAACAACTTGTAGGTTCTGGGGACTGAATTCAGGTCCTCAGACTTGGCAACAAGTGTGATAACCTGCTGAGCCACCTCATCATCCTAAGCATTAGCTTTTCATTGGAGAAAAAAAGATATTTGTTTTTCTTTTTAATTGATTACTGTGTGTATGTGATATGTGTGAGCATACATGTCATGCCTGTATGCTGAGGCTAGATGACAAATTTGTGGAGTTCTCTCCTTACACCTTTAGACTGGTTCTGGGGATTGACTCAGGTCACAGCAAGCTCTTTTAGCCACTGAGCCATCTCACTGGGCCCCAAAAAGTGAAATAGAGAAAGAAGGATGTTAGTCCAGGGAGGAGACATGGAAGATGTTGGAACAGCATGAGACCACAGAAAAAAGAAGGCGTTCCTGGGAACAGCCATCCATGAGGAGCCAAGGAGGTCTTACCTGAGGCCAGGACTCGAAGGGTCTTGGCCACGCCCCCCCAGGGCGCACCCAGTGAAATGAAGGCATGAATATACTTGTCCTTCCAGGCCTGTGGTTGCCGCTGCAGAAAGTAGAGCGTGTACATGTTGCCCATGCTGTGGGCGACCAGCACCACGGGGCCCCCATACATCTGGTACATCTCCTCGATCATCTCTCGGAGGGCCAAGAAGTAGGGCCCGTTTTCATCTACAGGCCAGAGCCAAGCAGAGGTCAGGCTAGAAGTGTCCTGGTACCTGGACCACTGACCAATCCACAGGCCAGACCCAGGACTACGGGATGCTGAGAATATTGGAGCCTAAGTAGGAGCAGATTAGATTCCCCCAAAGGTTCCTTTTCCCTTTTACCCTCTTACCCTCCACCAAGCCTCAGAGGGTCCTGGGGTGAATGGTAGGGAAGGACAAGGCAAGACTCATCAGAGCTGACAGCTGTGGCCTCTGCACTGGTTGCCAGAGGCCCAGATTTAGGGAGAGCCCAAGGCCTATTAGTGGCCAAGACTACCTTATCCCTACCTCCCAACTCCTCAGGGACAGAAGAGAGGTGGGGGTAGAGGACGATTTCTTACTTGGAGCTCGGCGCCAATCATAGGGAGCCCCTCGGAGGTCTTCTCCCCGTGTATAGCCCCAACCCACAAGGCTTTCCACCATAGTGTAGAAATAGGAACCTATGGACAGAAATGCATAGTTATATAAAATATAACCAGTGTAAGCCATCCATATCACACCCACAGAGACATCTGTCTCCCTGAAGCAGAGGTAAAGGGATTTGTGTCAACTAATCAAGGACAGCTCATAGGCTACCCCTTCAAAGCAATGTAGTACTTCCCGTATTCTCGAAGCCCAGGAGAGCCCAGAGAGCCCAGCTACATGCCCTAGAGACCCTGAGCAAGAACGACATACCCACAGTTCTTTTGCTGGGGTCTAGGAACTCCAAAGAAAATGTTTCCCCAAAGCCAGGGACACGCACATCCACACCATCAGGAAACTGGGTGGCCCGAGATGTTCTGTTGTAAACCAGCCTGCCAGAAGACAACAAGTTGGTAACTCAAAGGTTCCACTAAGCATAAGTGTGTCTCAGTACTGTCCTGTGACTTTAGCCATACTCCAATCTCAGTCCCTGGTTTGGTCAATGGTATAAAATATATGAAAAAGTAACAAAGCATGCATCTGTGAGTTCTAGGCCAGCCTGGTCTACCTAGAGAGTTCCAGAACAGGCTCCAAAGCCTGTATCTAAAGACAAAACAAACAACAACAAAAGACAAATGTAACAAAGCAGGCTTAAAAAAACACAGATCTAGCAGGACAGTTGTGGCACATGCCTTTAATCCCAGCACTGGGAAGGCAGATGCAGGCAGATCTCTGTGAGTTCAAGGCCAGTCTGGTCTACAAAAGTGAATTTCAGGACAGCCAGAACTGTTACAGAGAAAATTTTTGTCTCAAAAACAAACAAAAAAATAAATGTTTTGATTGTTTTGTTTTGTTTTAAGCAGTCACAGAAAGATGACAGGAGGGAGTGGATGGCTCAGAGGTTAAGAGCACTGGCTGTTCTTCCAGAGGTTCAATTCCCAGCAACCACATGGTTCCCTCACAACCACTTACAAAGAGCTCTAATGCCCTCTTCTGGCCCGAAAGCAAATATGCAGGGAGATCACTACATACATAATAAAATCCTAAAAAAGAAAGAAGGAAGCAAGCAAGCAAGCTGACGGGACCCCAACACTGATCCAAATGTAGGGCCTGAGGCTACTCTCTCCAGTGGATAACCTGAAAAGTGCAAAAAATTGTTGTGGAAAGCCAAGGCAACTTTGTGCAAGACGAAAATCTAAACAGGTCAGAGGAGCAACAAAGACAAAAAAGCTCTTTTCAGCATCAACCTGCTCCTCTGTTGGCAGTACCTGAGACCATGTGTCTCCAGGACAAAAATAGAAATGTAGATCACCAGCCCAGGAATAACTGCAATCACTCTCCAAAAAGAAAGTCAGCAAAGAGGGCAGCTTGAATAGCAGGGAAGACTGGGTGTCCAGGGCATCAGCCAGCAGGTCTCTGGAAAAATCTTTTAACTGATGAAAGTTTGGAGGGGTTTTTTTTTTTGTTTTTGTTTTTGTTTTTTTAAGATTTATCTATTATGTATACTGCTTTCTGCCTGCATGTATGTATGCTTGCAAGCCAGAGAAGAACACCAGGTCTCATTACAGATGTTTGTGAGCCACCATGTCTTTGCTGGGAACTGAACTCGGGACCTCTGGAAGAGCGAGCGATGTTCCAACCTCTGAGCCATCTCTCCAGCCCAATTTTTGAAGTTCTAAGTGCAAACATTTTCAGGGCATTAGCTATGGTCTTTGATTTATTAGGAGCACTTGTTGCCAGCTAGGCTCATGCCTTTGATCCCAGCACTTAGGAAGCAGAAACAAGCAGATCTCTGACTTCAAGGCCAGCCTACAGAAGGAGTTCCAGGACAGCCAGGGGTATTGAGAGACCCTATCTTGGAAGGCGGGCCACTTGTTGATCTTGCAGAGGACCCAGGTTCAATTCCCAGCACCCACATGTGGCTCATAGACATCTGTAACTCCCAGTCCTAGGGGATCTGATGTTCTCTTCTGACTTTCACAGGCACCCAGCATACACCACACTTACATATATGCAAGCAAACACACTCATACACATAAAATAATAAATCTAAAAAAAGAAAAAACAGAGTCATAGTCTGCCTTTAGAGACTTCTGTCTGGGAGGGGACCTTAAGATAATAAAATTCTGCGTCATCTTTCTGACTTACCAGCTGAATGAAGTGGCTATAGTCAATTTTATAAATTCTAGAGATTCAGGATTTCTCATCTATAAAGCACATTTGTTTTGCTTTGCTTTATTGTGGTTTTGGGGATCAAATTCAAAGCCTTATGTATGATACACAGAGTTACACCCCCATCTCCTGTCAAACAGGCTTAAAGACAACAACAGTTCCAAGGAGTGCCTCAAGATTAAATTAAAAAATGTCATTTGGTGGCAATTTTATTATGGTGCAGACCTCAAAGAGTGTTCTAGTGCAAACATAGATAGTGTAAATCATTCAAATGTGTTCTTGACGCAATCAAGACAAAGACAGACAGACACACACACATATATACACACACACACAGAAGACTGGACTGGAAAAACACACCTGTGATCCTAGCATATTGGAGGCAGAGCCAGGGTTTTCCATTCCAGTCTGGGCTATGCTGGGAATCTGAGCCCATTCTGAGCTACACAGTGGACCCTGTCTCACACCCTATTTTATTTCATTGTATGAGCATTACTAATTCGTCTACATAAACATACATGCACCACATGCATTCTTGGTGCCTTCAGAGGTCAAATGAGGGCATCAGATCCCTTAGAACTGAAGTTATGATGGTTGTGAGTCACCATGTGAGTTCTGGGACTTGAACTTGGGTTCTCTGCAAGAGAGGGGAGTGTTCGAATCTACTGGGCCATCTTACCAACCCCTTCTGCGTTGCTGTTTTGTTGCTCTTTGTTGTTGTTAAGACAGGACCTTACTGTGTAGCCCTTGGCTGGCCTGGAAGTCAGAGCTTCACCTGCTTTGACTTCCTGAATATTGGGATTAAAGGTGTGCTCCACTTCCTTTTTTTTTTTTTTTTTTTTTTGTCCCATAAATTAAGGGAGAGATAAGGAGAGAGGCTGTAACTTCTTGTTAGTACTCAGGCATCTGCACTGGCCTGTCCTTGGGGTTCTGACAGGATATGCCCTCAGCTGCAGCCACTGAGAGCGCCACCAATGCACATTGGTTCCCTTCCTTCTAAAAGGGCCCTGCCCACCTCCCATCTTCTCTGTCTCTCCTTCTCTCACCCTCTCTCTTCCCTGCTGCCGCTCCTGTCCCGGGAGGCTGGTCTCCTCTCTTCCGTCCCCCCCCCCTTTCCCATTCATTTTCTCCAAATAAACCTTTCCACCCAAGCTTTGTCACAAAGTATCTTTCTCTCGAGCACCACTTTTTAAAATTACAACACTTCTGGTACAATATGCAGTAAATACTTTGTGTTTGCTTTAGTTTTGAGACAGGCTAGCCTCTAACTCAAAATCCATCTTACTCAGTCCCAAATCTACCTTCCTTAACCTGAATAGGTGATATGCAACCTCAGGTAATGGGGGTTTTATGGTTTTTGCTGTTGTTTTTATAAGTAGAACATTCCAAAACAATAAAAATGTAATATATTAAAAATGGCCTGACCTTTAATCTCAGCACTCAGGATGCAAAGTTGGCAGATCTCTTTGAGTTTAAGGCCACCTGGCCTACAAAGGGAGTCCAGGACAGCCAGGGCAACATAGAGAAACCCTCTCTCACCACCACTCCCCCAATAAAATTAAAAAGCAAAATTAAAAATTATGAAGTCAGGTGTTGTAGCACATGCCTTTTAGTTCCAGGCCAGCCAGGTCTACACAGTAAACTCCTATCTTAAAGAAATGTAGCAGGACTATGGTGGTGCACACCTTTGATGTCGGGTGGATTTCTGTGAGTTCAAAGTCAGCCTGATCTACAGAGCAAGTTCTAGGACAGCTAGGGCAGTTACACAGAGAAACCCTGTCTCAAAAAAACCAAAATAAATAATTTAGTAAACATATAAACCAGCAACTCAGTTACTTATTATTAGCATCAAGTATCATAATATACCTAGTATGGAGATGCACGCTTGATTTATGTAGTGAGTTCCAGGCTAGACAGGACTGCATAGTCAGACCCTAAAGGTGTCATAATTCATTGGGGTTAACAGCATTTGAGTAACATTTGCTGCAAAAGTTAAATGGTTACAATAGCATAAGGCCATAAGAAATTTTCAGCTCCATTATCTTTCTTAAGCGGGAGTGCAATATCTGTATGTTAATGTAAGTATATATTATATGACATGCATTTAGGTGTCTAAGGAATCCAGCAAGCATCATATCCCTTGGAGCTAAAGTTATAAGCAACTGTGAGCCATCCAACATTGGTGCTAAGTAGCAACCAGGGTCTTTCAACCCCAAGCCAGGGACTTTATACATCCTAGGCTGAGCTACATGTCCAAGATGAAGGTGGATCTCTCTGTGAGGTGAGCCTGACGTACAGTGCTTTGAGTTCCAGGACAAGCTCCAAAGAAATACAGAGAAACCCTGTCTCAAAAAAAAAAAAAAAAAAAAAAAAAAACAAACAAACAAAAAACCCTAAAAAACAAAAGAGCTACATGTCCAGCCCTTCCCTGTACTGAAGGGAACACCTTCAACTCACATCAAACTATTCTTACTTTCTTCCCTCTTGTTGTAATCTTCGTTTGTTTGTTCTTAGATAGTGTCTCATGATACAGCCCTAGGAATTTGCTCTGTATACATGCTAGTCTTGAAGTCTCAGTGATCGTAAAAACACTGGAATCCAGGTATGTGCCTTAAGGTCTGACTAATCTGCCCTTGATAAAATATTACTATTTTGGAATGGGTCTGTAATACCCACTGTTCCAGAGGCTGAAGGACTGAAAGTTCAATGCCAGCCTGGTAATTTATAGAGATCCAGCTCAAAAAAAAATTGGTTTTGCTTTTTTGAGACAGGATCTTTCTTTGTAGCCCTTGGAACTCATTCTGTAAACCAGGCTAGGCTGGCTTTGAACTCACAGAGATCCACCTGTCTCTGATTCTTAAAGGAATGCAGCACCACAACTGGTTATCTCAAAAAAAAAAAAAAAAAGTTTTAAGTTTTATTGTTTATCATATGTATTTGTTCATTTGTGTGTGGACGTGTGTCACTATACACACGTGGAGTTCGGTTTTTAAGGGTCTGAATCACCGGCAGCCTAAGTTTGGGCTGGAGAGTGGGAGAGTGAGTTCCAGGACAGGCAAGGCTACACAGAGAAACCCTGTCTCAAAAAACAAAACAAAAACAAAGAGCAAGGGAAGGAAGATGGGGCCAGCAAGTTGGTTCAGAGAACAAAGGAACTTGCTCACCTGGCTGAAGATCTGAGCTCCATCTCTGGAACCAGCATGGTAGAGGGAGAGAACTAAAGCTCTCAGGTTGTCCCCTGGCCTGTACACTCATGCTATAACATGTGCACCCCCCCCCCTTAAATGGATAAATGTGATTTTCTAAAACAACAAAAAATAAAGGAGGGAACATTTATCAGTTAAGATCACTGGCTGCTCTTCCAGAGAACCCAGGTTTGATTCCCAGAACTCATGACAGATCACGATAATCAGTAACTATAGTCCAGGAGATCTGCAGATGTCAGAATGTATACTAAGGCAAACCACCCATACACACAAAATAAAAATAAATAAATCTTATATTTATTTATAATATAAATGGTGGTGCATGCCTTTAGTCCCAGCACTCGGGAAGCAGAGGCAGGAGGATCTCTGTGAGTTCGAGGCCAGCCTGGTCTACAAGAACTAGTTCCAGGATAGCTTCCAAAGCCACATAGAAACCCTGTCTCAAAAAAACAAAACAACAACAACAAAAAATAAATAAGTAAATAAAAATAAAAGGGGGGCAGTGGTAGTAGACCCCTTTAATTCTAGCACTCAGGAGGCAGAGGCAGACAGATATCTGCGAATTATAGAGCAAATGCCAGGGCAGACTCCAAAGCTACAGAGAAACCACATCTCAAAAAAAACAAAAAATAAATAAATTTAAAAATAGATAGCATAAATAAAAAGGAGAGGACATGAAAATGGGGAAGGGTTAATTTTGGGAGGAGCTGGATATGATCAAAATACGTTGTATAGGCCAGGTGTAGTGGCTCATGCCTTTAGTGCCAGCACTTAGGAGGCAGAGACAGGCAGATTTCTGTGAGTTCCAGGCCACCTGTTCTACATAGTTCTACATATCAGGAAAAGCCAGAAATGCATAGTGAGACCCTGTTTTGAAAACAACAAAAACAGCTGGTTGTGGTGGTCCACGCGAGTAGTACTTGCTGAAGGAGGTGGAGGCAGGAGGATCACCAGCTCAAGGCCAGCCTGGGCTACACATTTTAGCTGAGTGTAGTGGAACACTCCCAGCATTCAAGAGGTAGAAGCAGCCTGGTCTACAGAGTGAGTACCAGGACAGGCTCCAAAGCTACACAGAGAAACCCTGTTTCAAAAAAATCAAACACCAAAAAACAAAAGATACATTGTATAGGAACTCCAGTCCTAGGGGATCTGGCACCTTCTTCTGGTTTCTGTGGGTACTACCTACATGGTGCACAGATAGATATACATGCAGACAAAACACCCATAAAATAAAGAGAAAATTTTAAAGAAAGAAAAAGGAACTAGGGAAATGGCTCCTCAAAGACGACCCAGGTTCAAACCCTAGCACCAACACGGCAGCTCAGAACCATCTGTAACTTCAGTTCTAGTAGATTGATGCCTTCCTCTGACTTCTGCAGGCATGCATGCAGTGCATATACACACATGCAGGCAAAACAATCATACACATAAAATAAATCTAAAAATAACTTTTTAAAAGTTACACTGTAGCCGGGCAGTGCCAGTAGTGTAGACTTTTAATCCCAGCACTAGGGAGGCAGATCTCTAAGTTTGAGGCCAGCCTGGTCTACAGAGAGAGTTCCAGGACAGTCAGGGCTCTTAACACAAAGAAATCCTGTCTGGAAAAACAAAGAAAACAAAACATAACAAAAAGATTAAAAAAAAAAAAAAAAAAAAAAAAAAAAAAAACCACCAGGACCGCTAAAACCACTTGCCATTCAACTAAAATGTTTACTTCGTATCCTCTAAGAACCTTGGCTATCCTCTAAGAACCACTGATATACTAGCACACACAAGAAATCAATCTCTTTGGTCTGTCTGTCCAGAGTCTTGAGACAGTATTTTGGTCCTTATCAGCAGCTGGTACACATTCTGTTTGCCAAACTGCCCTCAATTGTGGCAATTCTCCTGCCTCAGCCTCCCTCCCAAATGCTGAGATTATAGATATACCACCATACACACCTTCTTTCTCCTTTACAAACATATTTGTGTTTAGTAACTGACTAGATTTGGGTTGATTATGTCATAACGTGAAAAATGAGATGACTCAGCAGGTAAAGATACTTGTCACCAAGTCTGAGAATCTGGGTTCAGTCTCTGGGACCCATATGGTAGAAAGAGAGAACTGATTTCCACAAGTTGTTCTCTGACCTCCACACCTACACTCCTGCACACACAGTGAAGAAATAAATAAATAAACCTTTAAAGAGTTAGATGATAGGGTACAAAACACAGTATAACTGGTTTTTTTGTTTGTTTGTTTGTATTCCAAAACAGGGTTTCTCTGTCACTTTGGAGCCTGGCCTTGAACTCACAGAACTCAACCTGCCTCTGCCTCCCAAGTTCTGGAATTAAAGGTGTATGCTACCACCACCTGGCTCAGTATAACTGTTTAACCAAAGAATGGGAAATTTTTGATTCACCACACTAGTAATAAAATTCACTTTGTAATGGAACAAATTTGATACTTGGTGAGGGTTAAAAGAAACACCAATGGTGCCTGCAGGGAGGGATAGTGGTGAGATTCCAAATAGGGAATAAAGTCATTTCTTTGAGGAAGGGTGATTTTTAGAGACTGGGCATAATTCTCCTCCCTCAGGCTCCTGAAGTAATGAGATCACAGGTCTACACCACACCCAGCAAAGGCCAGGCTTTTTTCTTACTTTGTTTTGATTTTTATTTGTTTCAGTTTTTTGTTTTTTTGAGACAGGGTATCTCTGTTGCTTTGGAACCTGTCCTGGAACTCGATCTGTAGACCAGGATGGCCTCGAACTCACAAGAGATCCACCTGCCTCTGCCTCCTAAGTGCTGGCTGGGATTAAAGGCATGTGCCACCACCGCCAGGCTGATTTTATATATATATATATTTATTTTATGTGCATGAGTGTTTTCCTGAATGTAAAATCTGTGTATGTGTTTAAAGCCCATAGAAGCCAAAAAAGGGCATCAGATCTTCTGGGACAGAAGTTATAGTTGTGAACTACCATGTGCATGCCAGGAACCAAACCCTCTAGGTGCTTAATCTGTAGGTCATATAGCAGTATAGTTCTTGAATTTTTTTTTTCCTTTCTTTATTTTTTTTTTTTGAGGGGGGAGGGGGTTGAGACAGGGTTTCTCTGTATTGCTTTAGAGGCTGTCCTGGAACTAGCTCTGTAGACCAGGCTGGCCTCGAACTCAGAGATCCACCTGCCTCTGCCTCTGCCTCCCGAGTGCTGGGATCAATGGCATGTGCCACCAATGCCCGGCTACAGTATAGTTCTTAACAGTAGTAATTACAGTTATAAAGTAGCAATGAAGTAGCTCTATGGTTGGGGGATCACACACAACATGTGGAACTTTACTAAAGGGTTGCAGCATTAGGAAGGTTGAGAACCACTGCAGCCAGTGCTTTTAATTACTGATCCAGCTCAAAAGACAGGTCCAAAGGGTGAATGGGAGGGGATTTATCAGTGAAGGCTACAAAATCAGAATCCCCACACGTGAAGATTACAATGTGAAGATACAGAATTATGGCAGGAAGAACAAGCAGCTAAAGAGGCAGGTGTGGTCAAGGCAAAGGAAAAAGGGGAGTCACTCCACACCTATGGATAGGGGCTAGCTAAAAACCTGAGTCTAGCACCCGATGGCAAAACTAGAGAAGGGAGGACCGGGAGCAGCAAGAAGGAGAAAATCATGACCAGAGTGTAGAGCTCGAGCTGACCAGATCAGACCAGATCAAAGGCTACAGAGCCCAGAAGAGAGGGGTAATTTTCCATCTGTTGAGGAATGAGGACAAAGACTCTGAAGGCCTCTCTGTGTCTCACAGTGGTTCCCCCATCTGTGTGCACCAGCGCCTACCTGATATTGTCAATCCAGCAGTCAATAATAACAGGCAGAAGCAGCTCAAGGTTCAGCCAGAGTGTGAAGTAGCTGTCTGTCCTCTTGGAGCAAAGATAGTGTACAACCTTGGGCTTGTCCAGCTTTGCTTCTAACTGGTTACCCAAATCACCAGGCACTGCAGAAGAAAAAGACAGGTATGGGCCCAAGTCCTGGCAGGCTGGATAGCCCCAAGAACCTTTGAATCTGTAAAAGAGCCACCCAGAGTCATGAACACCAAGGCACATCTTTGCAATCCCGCTTAGGAAGTTGAAGCACAATTCCAGGGTTGGAAAAATCAAAAATAAGCAAACCTGACAGAGAAGCCAGGATACCACCTTTATGTAGAAAAATTGTTACTAGCCAGGCATGGTGGTGAATATCTGTAATTCCAGTGCTTAGGAGGCTGAAGCAGGAAGATCAAGTGAGTGCTAGCCCAATCTGGGCTACACAATGAGATCCTGTTTCAAAACAAGCTGGAACAAGAGCCACAGTAATGGGAAAGAAGCCTGCCAACAGATACCCTGTGGAGGCTAAACAGAGGCCTGATATGCTTGCAGGGAGGCCCGCAGGGCTCTCTCCAATGGTATGGAATAAAAATAACCTCCCTGGATCTTCAATGAAACTTCCTTGTAGGCCATTCAGAAAGAGGTTCAAGTCAGTCACTTCCCCGAGAGGCTGTGGTTCCCCTGAGACCTCAGCCTGGATTGTCCATACATATACAGATGGTTTCCAAAGTTAATGTACCCAGAACATACTCTACCTAGGAGGGGCTTTGAGGCTTACGGAAGTTTTCCCAGAATCTCCAAAACTTGGCCAATGCTACAGTCCTTGATATTAGATATGTACCCTCCAGGCTTAAACCAAGCTGTAAAGAAGATCAAGCAGGCCTTATCTACCTCCCCAGCAGTGGGTCACCAGACAGAGTGCTAGGCCAAAAACTAAATCTAGAGGCAGTACCCTTATGTTTTGTTTGTTTTGTTTTTCAACAAGGTCTTGTTGACATCAAAAGCATACTTTTCCTGACTCCAACCTCCCAAATGCTGGGATTACAGGCCTGTGGGAGGGAGTCCATGATTAAAAAAAAAAAAAAAAAATACAGATAATGGACACTTACAATGGTACCAGCAGACCCACCAAGGCCCTAGGCCTTGCTAAAGGCAGGAAAGTTCCAGAGGATAGATTTGTGGAAGGCGGAAGGCTTGAGCATGGTTGAGAGGTATGCTGCAGATGACTAACCTGCAATAACATGCCATACCAGCCACAGACCAGGGTGTGGGACCAAGTTCCAAGCAACACTAGATACCACACTTGTCAATCTCTTTGGTCCACACAGACCCTAGGGCCCTGGTAACACCAAGCCCATATCAATTCCTTGAATTTTAAGTATTTATAGCCTCATAATCTATTTATTCCCATTAACATTACAGGCCACATATTCCTACTATAGGCTACCCTCTGGACACTTTAGAGAGACAACCCCTTTTAAGACCCACAGTCACCAGTGACTTTGAACCAGCACTGCACATGTCCTTGCCTGAGTGTTGTCCCAGTGCCAGAGTGCTGTAGGAAGCAGGTGAGACTCTTGCCTTCCCCTCCCTTCACGATGTAGGTACAGAAGCAGGAAACTTCCTGCATGGGAGCCTCTACATGACATGCTTGTGAACTGGGCATGTGAACTGGTCACTGTCTCCATCCACCAAAGGGGAAATGAGTGAAAGAGGAAGCCACCAGATACCCCTTGCTCTGGTCAGGCTATGTGGCTTCTAAATATAGCATCGGCCCCTTCCTGAGACACTTGGTGCCTGAAACAAGGACAAGAGACACACAAAACTTTTACTTAACACTGGGAAGGGTCATATTCATATAAATTTTAAAATAACATTTACTTATTTAGTATGTGTATATATAGAGGTAATATGAGAGCACACCACAGCATGTGTGTGGAGGCTGGAGGACAACTTGCCAGAACTAGTTTCATCTGGGGATGGAACTTGGTCTTCAGGCATCATGGCAATGCCCTTTGCCCCCTCGGCCTTCTTGCAGGCCCTCTTTATTCATTTCCCAGATGAGAAGCTGAGAGAGATACAAATGGTTTGCCTAAGGTCCCATTCCCCTGCCCTGGGGTCTATTTTCTGACTTCTGCTGTCTCTACCACTAACTCAGGACCCACACTTTGTGCCTAGGAATAGCAACGGCTCTCCCTGGGTCTCTTGAGTCAACAGTGGCAGCTCCAATCCCTGAAAAGATGGTCTGGCTGAGGGGGAAGATGTTCAGATCCCTGTGGAGTCTGAGGCTTCTCTGCTATGACTTAGGATAACCAAAGACTGGATGGATTAACAAGTTAGCAACAATTCATCCAGGTAAAAATACATGGAAAACAAGCCAGGTGGCAGTGGCACACACATTTAATTCCAGTACTAGGGAGGCAGAGACAGGTGGATCTCTGTAAACACAAGACCACCCTGTTCTACAAAAAGAGGACAGGGCTACAGAATGAAACTCTGCCTTAAAAAAAAAAGTGGCAAACTTGTATGTGGTCAGAGAATACATCCCAAAGCCAAGGCCCCCTCATTTCTTAAGAACTCCTTAGGTTCACTCCTGACTTCTTTACACTGGTTCTCAGGGAAAAGTCCAGATCACCCAATAAGTCACAAGCTTTACACCATATATGCCTCCTCCCCCACCACCCCCCAATTCCATTCCAACCAACCTTAGTTCCAGCACACACCCCAAGGCCTTCCCTGGTACCCACTCACCCAGAATGATTCTGATTCTCTGTGTTTACCCATCACAGACATCATCCCTAAGAGCCACCCTGGAAGTAGGGAACGGCAGGACCAAGTGTGTACAAATCTCAAAGTGAACTAGATCCATAATCCCCCAGACCATTTCCTGACCTAGAATGCCTATTTTGTTGTTGTTTTGTTTTGTTTTTGAGACAGGGTGTCTCTGTTAGCCCCGGCTGTTCTGAAACTTGCATTGTAGACCAGGCCAGCCTCAAACTCAGAGATCTGCCTGCTGGGATAAAGTTGCCTATTGAGGTTCCCCAGGACCATTTTGTCAGTCAACACTATCCTTCTATGAGCTGCAATTTCCCTATTAAAATATTCCAAGCAGTCTGGTGTGGTGACACAAGAAAGAAAGAAAGAAAGAAGAGAGAGAGAGAAAGAGAAAAAAGGAAAAGAAATCCCAGCAGAAAGGGCACAGGAACCAGGAACACAGGCAGAATAAGAATATAACAAATGCTTCAGCATGTCTCTGTGCTCAGAAGTCCTGGCTGGCCACTGAAATACTAACTCAAGATGAGGGCCAAGTCAAGTAAGTCTAAGACTCCCAAAGATTTTATCCTGGCCCGTTAGCATAAGAAAATACTGTTGACTCTTGTTCAGCTAGCTGCCAGGTCTAGGGCCAAGAGTAATAGGCAGGGAATGTCTCCTGGCTTAAACACAGCCAGGAATAATTAGCCTTGTAGGGGAGGAAGTAGAGCATGCTCTCTAACTCCCCAACACCTGTTCACAGCTGTGGTCCTAACCCTTTCCTGTCTTCCCTTCTTTTAGCTATCCTGCCTCCCTTAGGCCTTCTCCCAGAAAGTCAATGCCATGCATTTTATAAGTTGAGAGTAAGATGATGCTCTCAATAATCTTGGTGGCCAGCAAAGATAGAACTTGCTACCAGCCATGCCCTGTGAAATACAGTAGGGCGATGCCTTCTAGGCAGACTCAGATCAATTCTAGTCGCTGGAGTGGGGCTGGCCTCAGTCTTTCCAGCTAAGAAATGGGGGCAAGGTAAGGTAAAGTTGGAGCTGATGCAGATAGGAAAACCGGACAGTATCCTTCCCCTTTGCTCTCATGTTTTAGAGGGTGGCTGACCACACCCATGCCCAGTATGGAGAGAGGCGGGCCAACCGACCCGACCCAGGTTAAGAGACCAAAACGCTCTGGATATCATGCTTAAAGCAGATGTACAATGGAGAAGTCGGCCGGCTGGCTGCACTGGATCCTGCAGTACCCTCCCACCATCCCGCCGCACGCGAGTCTCACCCAGCACCACCGGAGGGTGACGTTGGGCCGAGAGCACCAGGTCTGCCCGCATCATTAGCAGAAACAGGGGGACCAAGAGGCCACTCCGGAACTGGGTCGCGCGGCAAGTGAGGTGATGGTGATCCATGGCGTGGGACTGGCAGTAGGTCCCTTTAGTGATAAGGGATCGCGCCTAGGCCGGGGCCGCAGCGTCGTGCTTTACCCCACAGCTCCCAGCCACCAGCCAATTAAGACCCGCCTCTTGCTAAGGCTGTACCAATTGGAACTCTGCGCCACGAGCGTCCCTCCCACTCAAGCTCACCACCCGTCCTTGCCCACCCCTGAGCTTGCTGCTAGACTGTGCTGCGCGCCGAACGCATCGATCGACCGCTGGGCGCCGCTTGGCTCCCAGTTGTCATCCTGCCAGTAGGCAGCCCCACCTCACCGACACTCGAGTCCACTCAGGTAGTCCTCATTCCCGATTCCTAGCTCTCCCACACCAGAAGGACCGAAAACAGGTCGAGCCGAAAGAGGTCCATCATTTGCTGCGACTGAGCAACCCTCTCTGAAAGCAAGGAAAGAGGAAGTGAATTCTAGGTATGTCTTTCATTCTAGAAACTCAGGTGACAACAGCTGACCAGGACCTTTGTACAGTCTTCGCCCTGGCATCCCCAGGGGCATCTTGTTTTGGCCGCCCATGCCCAGAGAATTTCTACACTCTGCCTTCCAGGTAGAAATGCAGGTGGAACCCAAGAAACGGATCCGGGGGAGCTACATCAGCCTTTTCCAAATGAAGGGTCTGCCACTCAGTTTGTAAGGGCAGCACATGGAGTAGAATTGGAAGTGATTTTAACTCGAAACTCTGAGCTATCCATTTTTAAGTTCCTCCTGCTAAGAACAGGGCTCGGGAGCTCGCATTGGCACTTCAGCTCTGGGGAATCAAGGGGGCAAGACTTGAGCCTGGAGCTGGGGTGAAGGCCCACTGGGCAGAGGTTCAACACTGGTAATAAGGCAGCTCTGTGGGGTAGAGTTAGCCAGTGCGTTTGAGAAATGAACCTCCGTACACTTCCTTCTGAAGGGCCCTTGCACCCTTGGGACACTGCTTAGTCCCAAGATTTTTTTACCCACCCTTCACCTCTTCCTTCCTTCTTGGTAAATAGCTGGCTTGTGTTAAAGTCGGTCATTCTTAGTTTTTATAGCAAAATGGGAAGTTTTTTTTTTTTAAAAAAAAAACTGTTTTATTTTATGTGTATGAGTAGTGTTTTTGTCCACATGTATGTATGTACATCGTCTGCATGCCTGGTGCCTGAAGACGAGGATATCAAATAGTTTGCCAGGAATAGAATTACAGGCAGTTATGAGGCATCACATAGATGTTGGAAATCAAACAATAGTCCTCTGCAATAGCAACAAGTACTCATAACTATTGAGTCATTGCTCTAGCTCCAGAAAACAAGAAATTTTAAGGCCCACTAACCACTACCTTAGGCCCCTCTCCCTACTTTAACTCCTGGCACCAGCAAAGTATTGCTACAGACTGACCTGGTGAAGGCCCAATAGAGGATCATAGAGACATTCAGCCAAGTCCAGAGCCAAGAGGGGGAGGGGAGATATTAAAAGGCTTAATAGCCTTGGGCATGGGCTAGTACATGCATCTTGCCAAGCTAGCAGTCTCAGAGGACCACAGGCCCCTGGAAGAGTGTCACTGTTGTCAACTGCCGTTTTTTGATATCCCACCCCCCACAACCTGAAAGCTTAGAAGTCAGGATTATTGGGGAAAGGTTGGCACTAGCTTGATAGCAACAACCCTTACTTGTACAAGCATCAGAACATGAGCCCTTCCCCCCTTTTAAGACACTAGTAACCCAGTGTCTTAGCTAGTTTTATGTCAACTTGGCACATCTGAGAAGAGGGAACCTCAACTAAAAAACTGCCTACAGAAGGCTGGAGAGATAACCACTGACTGATCTTCAAGAGGTCTTGAGTTCAATTCCCAGCACCCACATGGTGGCTCACAACCATCTATAATGAGACCTGCTGCCCTCTTCTGCCCTGTAGGCATACATGCAGGCAGAACACTGTATACATAACCTTAAAAAAAAAATTTAATTTGTCGGGCATGGGTGGCTCACGGACTTTAATCCCAGCACTCGGGAGGCAGAGGTAGGCGGTCTCTGTGAGTTCGAGGCCAGCCTGGTCTGCAGAGCTAGTTCCAGGATATGCTCCAAAGCTACATTGAAAAACCCTGTACTCGAAAAACCAAGAAAAAGAAAAAAGAAAAACTGCTGCTGTAGTGGCTGAAGCGATGGCTCAGGGGTTAAGAGCACTGCCTGTTTTTTTCAGAGGTCCTGAGTTCAATTCCTAGCACCCACATGGTGGCTCACAACCATCTGTGATGAAGTCTGGTGCTCTCTTCTGGCCTGCAAGGATACATGCAAGCAGAACGCTGTATGCATAATAAATAATAATAAATCTTTAAAAAAAAAAAAAGATCCAGCTGTAATGGGTGGTGGTGCCACTCCTTTAATCCCAGCACTCGGGAGGCAGAGGCAGAAGTTGCTCTGTGAGTTCAAGGCCAGTCTGATCTATTGAGTGAGTTCTAGGACAGGCTCCAAAGCTACAGAGAAACCCTGACTCCAAAAAAAAAAAAAAAAAAAAAAAAAAAAAAAGAAAGAAAGAAAGAAAGAAAAAGAAAAAAGAGATTTGTCTCACATGCTCAAAGAATACTGCAAGTGCTCAGTAAACACAGATCCATAGTGGCACACACCTTTAATCTCAGCACTCAGGAGGCAGAGGCAAGAGAATGTCTGTGAGTTCGAGGCCAGCCTGGTTTGCAGAGCAAGTGCCAGGACAGGCTCCAAAGCAATACAGAGAAACCCTGTCTGGAAAAACAAAAACAAAACAAAACAAACAAACAAAACACAGATCCAGATAGGAACAAACAAAACAAAACAAAGCCTCTAAATAGGTTACAGTGCATTTAAAAAATGGGGATGGAAAGATGGAGAGATGGCTCAGAGGTTAAGAGCACCAGCTGCTCTTCTAGAGGTCCTGAGTTCAATTCCCAGCAACCATATGGTGTCTCACAACCATCTACAATGAAATCTGGTGCCCTCTTCTGGCCTGCACGCAAACATTCAGGCAAAACACTGTATACAAAATAAAGTAAATCTTTAAAAAAAGAAAGAAAAGAAAATGGGCATGGAAAGTCATAGAAAAAAACAAATATAACTAAGACATTTAAATAGAGAATAAAATAAGATAAAAAGATAAGCCACATAAAGATTGAAAATACATAGAGTCTGGCTCCTACATGGAGTCTTTTTGACTTTGAATTTTTTGACTGCTAATGACTGAATGACAGTTGCTGAGAGACATGGGCTTGTAAGGATTGTTGAATTAAATCAGTCTATATACTTTAGGAATACTTTAACTTTAAAATGAAATTCCAAAAAGGTTTTGTGTTAGTGAAGAGGCTATGTTTCTGTTCCCACAAGAGGACAAGAGGCTGTGGATTCAGACTTCAGTCAAGGTTAAAGAAAATTAGGGTTCTTTGTTTTTCTTTTTTCTTTCTTTCTCTCTCTCTCTCTCTCTCTCTCTCTCTCTCTCTCTCTCTCTCTCTTTTTTTTTTTTTTTTTTTTTTTTTGAGACAGGGTTTCTTTGTATTGCTTTGGCGCCTGTCTTGGAAGTTGCTCTGTAGACCAGGCTGGCCTTGAACTCACAGAGAGCCACTTGCCTCTACCTCCTGAGTGCTGGGATTAAATGCATGTGCCACTACTGCCTGACAGTTATGGGTGTTCATTATCATTAAAGGGAGTTAGTTACAAGTTGTTATTGGTCTTGCTCATTGAGGAAACTAAGAAAGGGACATTATATTTAAAAATCACTTTCTGAAAAGAAAAAAAAAAGAGGGATATAGAGATGATAGGAGAAAGGGGCAGATTATTGAATATACTTTAAAATAAAAAACTACTAATCTCAAATATTTAACATTAGTATTTACTTTTGTAAATTTAAGGTTATTTTTGTTAGAACATACTCCATATGTTTCTACTCTTGTTAAAGATATTTTTGTATATTGATACAAATTTAAGGTTATTTTTGTTATACTGTAATATGTTTTTATTTCTTGTTTAACATATTGTATCTGTGCAGCTCATTTTAAAATGTAATGTAAAGTTCAAGTCCTTGAAAGCTATTTGGGATAATGAAGAAATACTGGGTGTTTGTTGTTGTTTATTTTGTTTTATTTTGTTTTGTTTTTTAAGACAGGGTTTCTCTGTGGTTTAGGAGCTGTCCTGGAACTAGCTCTTATAGACCAGGCTGGTCTCAAACTCACTGAGATCACCTGCCTCTGCCTCCTGAGTGCTAGGACTAAAGACGTGTGCCACCACAGCCTGGCCAGAAATACTGGTAGTCATCTATAACATTCAAACTCATAGTCAAGTTAGGTGTATTTTCAAGGTCATTCAGAAACATATTTTAAATAGATTGTCTTCAAATATTTAAGAGACCTATAAAATATAGCATTTTAATGTTTTAATAACATAGGTCTTTTTATGATCATGAGACATGTCTGCTTCTTGCAGCACCAATTTATTTCAAAAGAGGATGACAAGCATTGAAAAATCTCCATATAAGCTCGGCGTTGATGGTGCATGCCTTTAGTCCCAGCACTCAGGAAGCAGAGGCAAGTGGATCTCTATGAGTTCAAGTCCAGCCTAGTCTTTAGAGCAAGTTCCAGGACAGGCGCTAAATCAATGCACAGAAACCCTGTCTCAAAAAACAAACATCCACCATCATGGAGCCCTCATGTAGTACCTGTTGGAAACAGAAGCAAACACCCACAATTAAACACTGAGTCAAACTAGAATCCAGATGCAGAGAGAGAGGACAAGATCAGGTTGCAGAAACACATAGAGACAGCTGACCTGAACAAGGAGGAGCTAATGGGCCCCAGACTAATAGCTGGGAATCCAGCATGGGTCTGACTCAGACCCCCTGAACATGGGTCTCAGCTAGAAGGACTGAGCAGTCTAAGGGACCTCAGAGAGTGGAACCAGGATGTATTTCTGGTACACAAAAGGACCTTGTGGGCACATCCCCCATGGAGGGATACACCCTTAACCCAGAGACAGGAGAGAAGTCCTAGTCCCTACTTCAAATGACTTGACAGATTTAGTTGACCCCTCCTGGATGGCATTGCCCTACATGTGGAGTGGGGGGAGTG